CAGGTCTAACAGTTGGGGAGCAGTACATGTTATGTACCTACTCTTCAAGGTACCGCCAATCAGTTCAAAAACTGTCTTCCTAATGGCTGATACTTTAGTAAGAATTTGGTGTCTTCTGATTTTGTTGCAAAATAAGAAGTATTAACAGTGACGGAAAGAAAGTTAAGAGAAACTGTATATTTGAAGAATAGCATGCAAAACAGTTTATCCCAAGCATTGGCTCCTCTCTGCCATATGTGGCAGGCCTGCCCAGCCTCTCCTATCTCACGATGTTTATGTTTCCATGATTTCAAATGTTTCCTTCATTCAGCTTCAGAGAAGTCTCAGGACAATCAGGAGCCAAATTATCTAGTAGAACAAAGACCTGTCAGAGTAACAGGGCTGGTTTATCCTCCCACCATCAGCACCCAAGATCAGAGAGAGTTAGGACTCCCTCGCTGCTTCTCTCAGAACACATTTCATTTTATCAATGGGCATTCTGCACGCTGACTTTGAAAGGGAGATAGTGGATAGGCTGCATCTGGAAGAGATCAAGCTAAGGCGAGGCTTGCCGGGTCATCTTGCAGATGTAACCATGTGCTAAACTGAGAACTCCATTCTCAGAGCAAATGCCTCACACACTGCAGGAAGAGGCTGGACAGAAGTCAGAGCTACACTGTGAGGATAAATTCCCCGTCTTGGTTTTATTCAGTTATCAGATAAATCTCTTTGCTAAAAATGACCAGTTAAGCTAATCCTAAGCAGGACAGGACCGGTATTAACCAGGACTGAACCAGGTGAATGGGGGATATACCGTTTCAAGGACAGGCTTTCAGCAGCCAGGGACAGAGGCACAGCTCCACACTGTCACCCTCAGCAGCCTGAGTTCTCTAATTCTTTAAGGATCTCAATTCAGGTGAAATAGGATCTTTGGTTTAGATGTGGAAGAGAATATTGGTGGGCGTCATTGTGAAGTGGAGTTTGAGGTTATTAAAAATAAAAAGGTGTTCAGAGAAAGAATCAAACACACCCAAGAGCGTGGGTATGGACCTTTCAGAGATTAGTAAAAGTTTATTAAGATACACTTTTATTCTTTTTATTTGCTACAGTTTTATTCCTCTTATTTAGTGTGTGAATGTGTATATGGTATGGGTATTTATAAGTCTCTTCTCTTCTCTTCTCTTCTCTTCTCTTCTCTTCTCTTCTCTTCTCTTCTCTTCTCTTCTCTTCTCTTCTCTTCTCCTCTCCTCTCCTCTCCTCTCCTCTCCTCTCCTCTCCTCTCCTCTCCTCTCCTCTCCTCTCCTCTTCTCTTCTCTTCTCTTCTCTCTCTCTGTATATTTGTAAGCATTTGTGTGTCCATGCCTGTGTTGGATGCCTTCCTCTTTCCTCCACTTTATTTATTGAGGAAGGGTCTCTTGCTGAACTTGGAGCTAGCCCAAATTTGGCTATGGTCTGAGGATTTTTTTTCTCTGCCTCCAGAGTGCTGGGGTCATAGGTAGCTGCCATGGATGTCTGGCTTTTAAGTAAATTTGGGGTATCTGAACTCTGGTTCTCAGTCTTGTACTATGAATGCTTTGTCTACTGAGCCATCTCCCCATCCTTATTTTTAATATAGGGTTTAAGTACAGAGATTAAAAGAGAGAGAGATGCTTGGAGAAAGAAAATGACATACTGAAGTGTTGGTGTGGGCTTCTCAAGGCACAAAGTTATGTGCCATAGCATAACCCTACATTCCACTGTGCCTTTCAAATGGTACCAATGATTTCTCAAAGAGTTTCCAAGAAACATTTTAATCTGTCCACTTTTCTATTTGTCTGGTTGATGAAATTATGGGATGGCTCTGGAGAAGGCTTGGATGAGATTATAACCTGAAAAGGTTAAAACACAGAATCACTGAAGTCATAAGTTCTTTGGATTGGACCTTTTACTATACCGGGCAGTTCTACTAGGAAAATCTGATAGAAAGATTCTCAATTACAAGTCTGGAGATGAGAAAGGAGAAGGGCCTCAAGCAAATGCTAGCCCTGCTGGGCTTATAATTGCTCTTCCCAGCTGGAAAGAGGTCTTCATCAGACTTGGCTGGATCTTTCCTTTCCCATGTCCCCTCAACTTCCCATCTTCTCATTGTGGTTCAAGGCAATATAGAGGTGGGGAGAGGTCTGGAGAGATAGTTTTGTGCTAGAAACATGTTTGCTGCTCTCACAGAGGAGCAGAATTTTGTTTCCTGCACTCACATGGCCAGTTCTAGGGCATCCCACTTCTTTGTCTGGGCTTCGTGGGTACCAGACACATACATAATGCATTTAGGTCTATAGAGGCAAAACTCTCATACACATGAAATAAAAATAGATAAATCTTTTAAAAAGTAGAAACATGAGGGCAGGTACTTGAATTATTGGCAGAAGGAGGAATGGAAGTTAAGTGTATGAGTGATATTTTAGAATTATTGACTTTAAAATTATCTTTAAACATTAATTTATTTATTAATAAAGAGTCAACCTATGCTGTCAGGAATTTTATAGATGATATAGCTTAAATAGATAAATAAATTTTTCCTGTTGTGAGTGAGACGCATGTTCTAATTAGTCTATCTATCAAATGATGAGGGATATGGTATCTGGTGGTAATTCCTCCAGTCTGTTAGAAAGGCAGTCTACATAAGTTGAAACTAGCAAAGCATTGGTGTCAAATAACTCGGTTTATAGACATCTGGATCACTGGATAGATACATCACTTTGGTCATGAATGAAACTATAGACAGCTGAGTCACTGGATGGATGGATCACTTTGGTCATGGGTGGCTCTATATGGCAGCTGAATCATTGACCTGCTATATCATTTTGCTCAAGACTGAGTGATGTAGGTGGGTCTTCTTTCTATGTGATGCTTTCATTGGTTAATTAATAAAGAAACTGCTTGGCCCAGTTTCTTTGGTGGTGTGATAAGGGTCTTTCTCTGTGAGCCTAGATGGTCTAGAGCTAGTTATGTAGCCTAGGCTGACCTTAGACTAATGGCCGTCTTTCTAGCTTACCTTCCTAAGTAGTATGACACTAGGCTTAGAATCCAAGTTTCTTTATTTTTATAAGTTTTAACTCAAATAAATCTATTTTCTGTTTTCTTTCATTGAAAAGCAAAGCAAAACAACAACAACAAAACCCCCATGTATATATGCATGTGCATAGGGGTTCCCTTGATGCTAGAGGAGTCAGATCCACTGGGGTTAGAGGTCATAGGTGGTTGTGAGTCACCCACCATGGATGCCAAACTCCCATCCTCTATGAGAACTGTACAAACCCTTAACCAAGGAACAGTCTCTCCAGAGCTCGGGCTCCTAGTTAACCTGCCAAATGAGGAGAGCGAACTACACAGTGTACCCCAAAGCTCTGTGCTCTCTAAAACTTTTAAGGCTTGCATGCAGAGAATAAGGTATTGAGTGCTCAGCCCTAAATGGGTTATACATATCCCACTCTGAGCCCCATGGCTCAGAGAAGAGACAGCGTATAGTAAGATCCCGGGGTGGTGAATAACACCAAAGAAACTGTTTTTCAGGTACCACAGGGCAATTGCACAAACTCGTAACAGCTGTGAGAACATACATAGGACCAGCACAGGCTCCAGACTGATAGAATCTGGGTGTAGGCACAGGTGGGCATGAAATCCCACCAGTATCTGAGGAACTATTGGCATGTGATAACTCCCTGAAGAGGGAGACTCCATTGAACACACACTAGGGTAGGCCCTATTCTCAAGAGTGGCTGGGCAACACACACTGGACTTGTTGGGGGGGGGGGAAGGAAAATGATACCTTAAACTTGGTGGAGAGGGTGGCTGACGGGGAGATGGAGTGAGTATGTTCAAAATGCCTTCTATGAATTCTCAGAGAGTTAACAAAAGTATTCTCTAACAGATCTGGATCATGCATCCCTTTGAAGTCTCTTCCTATTATGCTCCAGAAGTTAATCTCTGTGCCCTCCCGCGTGTGCAAGCGTGTGCATCAGTCCACGCTGATCTTACTAGCTGGGGAGACAGTATGGTCAGCTAGCATCTTGGCCATAGACACTTAGCTGAGTCTCTGGGAAACTGCAGAGACACCTCCCCCCTCCTGCCACCCAAGACTATTCCTGGTCTATTGTGTCTTATCAACTGCAGGCTCCAGCCTCCACACGGAAGAGTATCCCAGTTTTGCAGTCTGAGGATGTTTGTGAAGTAGGCAGAATGAAGCAGGTCTTGTCTGGTCCTAAGGCTACCATATAAATCCTCAGTCCTAATCTACTTAGAACCGTTTTTGGTTTGAATGGATCTATCTTTTTAGGGCCTTGGTGACTGTGCCGTTTCTTTTAAAGTTCTTTTTAAGTTCTTCAGGCCCAGGGAGCTGGTAAGGAGCTTGTGGCCAGACCGCCACGGCACTCTGAGGTCTGTTCCTGACTCCCACATGGTAGTGGAAGGAGAGAACCATTAAATTCAATGAAAGTAAACCAACGAAAAGAATCCAGCATTTTAACATTTATCATACACCATCGGCTTTACTGACAACTTCTTGGGCTGTCTACCTACAATATCTCCCCTAATTTAGGATCCTCTTTTATAGGGTTTATGCAAAGCGCCTCAGGAATTTTTAATAGAGTTTCGACCCAAGACAAACTCAAACGAATTCGGAGGGACAACCCTACAGGCTTGTGGCTGGAAATGAAAGAATGTCTGTGCTCCTTCCTCTCAGAGGCCTCTCTTCCCCCAGAGCTCTGACTCAGGCATGAGTAGGTGGGTGAGCACCTGCAGACAATCAGCCCCAAGAGCCCCACGGTCGGGGAGTAGGGCCTGGATGTGTGCCACCCTGTCTCACTTTTTTGTTCCCATCCGGGTTCTGGGTCTCAGGGCCGGGACTCAGGTGCCAGCTGCACCCCTGCCTGGGCGTTGCCCGGGAACCGCGCCGCCGCAGTGCAGCTCGGACCCCGCGCGAGCACCCGCGGGACTCTCTCCCGGCTCGTACGCGTTTGCGGCTCAGGCCGTGGGCTCCAGCACCGCTTGTGGCACCCAGGCTGCGCCATGGGGAATCTACCATCTGCTGCGAAGCACTGCCTCAGCTACCAACAGCTTCTCCGCGAGCATCTGTGGAGCGGAGAGTCAGTGGCAGGGGCGCTGGACCCCGCGCAGGTACCACCTCGCGGCCTAGGGCGCCCCCACCCTCTGGCACAGCCTCTTCCCTATCAACCTCACCCTAATCCCCTTTGTGTCACCTCTGTATGCCAGGACCCTGCCTGCAGCAGCTCCGCTGTCAGTGTGCAGCTCTGTAGCTGAAAAGGCTTTTCACCTTCCTGCTGTGAACCAGTAGACTCGTCCTTGCAGGCCTAGCAATTTCCCTATTCCGGACCATTTGCAGGTGGCCTATAGGAGTGATCAGGTCTGTGTGTTTTCCCTTGGAAGGGATGCATTATCTAATGTAATTTAAATCCAGAGGCGTTCTTTCAAGGACAGTGCCTCCTTGTAGTGTGTAACAGACTACAAGCATGTCACTTTGTGGGTTAGAGAAAGGAATGAAGCCAATACACATTAGGAAGGTACACTACGTTAAAATCACCTGTCAGGTCAGAGCGGTGACTGTCTCTAATGCCATTGTGTTTTAACAAAATCAAACAAACTTGAATAAAAGCATTATAGAATGAATTTTTCCTGAAAGTCGTTGAATTATGAGTCATGGACTCCGCAAGGTTTTGACTTTTAGCTTCTTTAATTATAAGTGCCTGTTTGCCTTGTGAACAAGGTAGTTCCTGTTATTTTAGTGGGCTAGTCCAGTTTTGTTATGTGATGCTGCATCAGCTATTCTAACAGTAGGTTCCCCCTCCCCCCCCCCCCCCCCCCCCCCCCCCCCCCCCCCGCAGTCTCAGTCCAGTGTTCCAACAGGTGAAATTGAAACCTTGGATCCACAAGTAGGACTCAGAATTTGTGGGCTGTTTTATAGATAGTTTCTGCCTCATCAACTAGAACATGGCCAGGGCTATTCACAAGAGTCCTAGAATCAGCTCGGTATCTATCAACAGATGGATGGATACAATACAGAAGATATGGCGTATGTATACAACAGGCTATTATTCAGAACAAAGAACCAAATCAAGTCTTTTGCAGGTAGGCGCCTGGAACAGAAAGTCACCATGTCACGTGAAATGAGCCAGAGCCTGAAAAGATTGGCCCTGCATGTTTTCTGTCCCCTGTGGGGGTGGGGGGGAGAAACAATGAAACAAACAAAGGAACAATGAAAGCAGAGACTGGGAGAAATGAAGAGGATCAGCAGGGTTAATGAGGGTAACGAGGCAGTACATGAAAGTGTCCTGACGAAATCCATTATTTTCTACAAGTAATATGTATTAATAAAAAGGCACAAAAGGATGGACAAGGGCCCCCTGATAGAAACCCAGGGATGACAGAGGTGAAGTGGGAAGTCATGCTCTATCTCCTCCCATGTCCTCACGAATAATTCCTATGTATTCTCGTGTGAACTTCCTAGAATGCTACCAACAATCTCTAACAGTTTGTTTTACACAATCAAGAATCCCTAACATTTATTTTTTTTAAGATGAAATCACACGATTTTATTGCTTAGGTGATCTTTATAGATGTGTGTATGTACATTCTGTGGGCTTTGTGGATGGTGACTAACATCAGGATGATGGGGGATGGTTTCCACTTTATCTGTTAAGATGAGGAAACAGGGGAAAGGAAGATTGCTTGGATTACTGATGAGGCAATAAAAGGACATGACTTTCAGACTCGTGTACTTTTCTGGAAAACTCTCTAAGACATTTTAGCACCTTCCAGCTCTTCCGCCTGTGACCCTCCTGTTTGTTCCTTAATTACGCCTTGCAAACCACTTCTTTGGTTCAGCTCTCTTATCCTTGTGTCCTTGCCAGGCTCAGTAGCTTCTGTCTCTCTGGGCCATCGTGCCGGCCTGTCTTACAGCTTATCTCCTCTCATAGTCCTGGTTATTATTTGTATCCCAGCTCTTGGCTTTATATTTTCTTCTCTTTTCCGAGCTTCAGACTGCACTTAGCTATGTCAACAGAAATTGATACTCAACATCTCCAACTTGCATTCGTGTCCTCTCTTCCTGGACTGGCAAGTTCTTTCTGGAAAATCATCCTTGTTCTATGCACAAGTCCTTCAAAGTCACTGGATGGATTTCCATACATTCTGGGGTCATCTGGGAAGAGGGACCCTCAATTAAGAAAATGCCCCCAGCACATTGGCTTGTGGAAAAGCCTGTAGTGCATTACTCTTTGATTTATGATTGATGTAGAAATGCTCAGCTCATTGAGCGGGTGTCTTGGGTGCTACAAGAAAGTAGTCTGAGCAAGCCAAGAAAACCAAGTCAGTAAGCAGAGATTGTCCGTTGTCTCTGCATTAGTTCCTGACTCCTGGTTCCTCTCTTAGTTTCTGCCTTGACTTCCTTCAGTAATGGACGGGGATATGGAACTGTAAGCTAAAATAAATTCTCAAGTTGATTTTCGTCATGGTGTTTTATCATAACCACCAAAACCCTTACTAAAACATTTTCCAAACAGATTTTTCCCCATGATTTCCTGTTGCAAAGAATCTGCTCACAGTTTGTTTTGTTCTACAAGGTTCAAGTCGAAGGCTCCTTGCCCTCCATTTCCATCACTTTTAAAGCATCACGGAGTCCTGGAATTTCATTCTTGAAATCCTTTCGAATGTATCTATTTTCCAGCTTCACCAGCACTTCAATTTTAAAATAGCTCTATGTGACCTCCATGTGACTAAACCATTGCCTTCCCCTTCTTACTTTCAGTTTTTCCTCTCCTACCCACTGTATAGACAGTCGAGAAGTTCTATATTGCAAGTAAAATCATGCCATTATCATACCCGTCTGTGAATTCCATTGTTTTCAGAAATCGACAAACAGAACATTGACTTGGTTCTCTGAAGTTTCCAGTAGTCTTCATTCACCTCATCTTAAACTATTCACTTAGTTCTTGTCATTTTTTTTTTTGCCATAGTGTCCTTCTTTCTGCTGTCTATAAATCAGGTTCCCTTCGCTCGTTTCATCCCTCTGCTAAAAAATATTTCTCAATTAGCTTTTATTCAATCTTCAGCATTCAATGTGAATGTCACATTTTCATGAAAACTTCCCATTAGTCTTGGCTATGATTTTACTGTATTATATACCTATTGTATATTAAATGGATTCTCTATTTATTTGGCGATTAATTGGAATATAACTCTATGCCAAATATTAAGGCCAAATAAAACCCAGAAAAAAAAAACAACCCACAACTGGACTTACCACACCTAACAAAATGCCTGGTTAGTTCTTACGATCAGTATGTACTTGTTAAAGAAATGAAGGGCTGCTCATCTGTATAAAGGACAAGCCAAGCCAAGCATCTCATGCTTGGGAAAATCTCTCTAAAACAATGATTAGTACATTAGTTTGTAACGCACAACTGTTAACTTAGTTCAAAATTAACGATACCAAGCACTTGTTATCATTTGAATCTTAGTACCAGTGTGTGTGTGTGGGGGGGAGTGTTTTTACGTTTATGACTTGTCTTTTTATTAAATAGACCTCAGCCAGGATTTGATCATGAAGAAATGATGAAAATGAAATTTGAATACTGTAAAGGAACCATAAGGAACTTTGCCTCTCGTTTGCTGTTGAATTTGATAGATGATATGATAGACAGGGCTGGGGGATGCACTCAGAGAACTTGCTTGCCATTGGGATTGATCGAAATGTCTCTGGGTGAAAGAGTGCCATGCTAGCTACCAACAGGCTAGAGACCAACTTCTTTTCCTCCTTCCTCCATTCCTCCCTTCCCCACAGTATCACAGTGTGCTGTGCAACTTACTATTCGACTTTGTGCATAAACTAGCCTGCTTTCACTATAAAATTTCTCTGTACACATTAAATATAAAATATCCTGAGGAATTAGAGGTAACCTCTTAAAAAAATCAATCTATCAGACTAGTAAAGTTTAATACCTAGCTCTAATTTTAAACTATATGCAGTATTTGTGCTTAAATTTGGTGAAGGAGTAATCTAAACTCTATACATTTTTTTTGTGTGACCCCATAGCTTTAGCATCCTTTCCAAAAAACTTGAAAGGACTGGAGATGAATTTTTAGAAGAAGAAACAAACTCACTTCTTTCTATTTATTTTGTGTTCTTTCTTAACTGTTAACTTTCATTTCTTCACTTTTACTTTATTTTGGAATAATGTATTTTTAATTTCCCCGTGGAATTAAAATATCAGTTATATGCTTTTTAAAAATTTATGTTCATAGTTGTTAACCATAATTTGTCAGCGTCTAACCTTGACTTACTAAACTATAATATGCCTGGTGTTATAGCATGTAAACTGAAGATGTAACACAACGCACTGCTGCCTATTGGCTTTTGATACTTCTTGTTGTATGTGTTTATTCTCCACATGGGATATTTAGAAAATATGTTTACTCAGTCACTGTTAATTTTTATTTATGCATGCATTTTTCCCTTTCTTCTGCATTAATTTATTCGTGCTAGCTTTGGCAGCACATATACTGTATTCATTTATTCATTTCCAGTCCTGCATTGGAATTATTTTCTTTAACCAGGAGTATTCCCTTCAGTCTCCTCTTTATTGAAAACCCACTGGTGTGCAGGGTTGCGATATGGCTTAGTGGGCAAAGGCAGTTGCAACCAAACCTGATGACCTTAGTTTAATTTTGGGAACCACCTTGTATAAGAAAAGAACCAGGTCCTACAAGTTGTCCTCTGACTTCCACACAGACACACACACTCACTCAAACACACACTCTCACACACAGTCCCCAGACATTAAATAAATAAATGAACACATAAATAAATGTAATTTTAAGAAAACTTAAAAAGAAAAACAGCAGTTTGGTTGCTCAAGTACTGGAGAGGCCGAGGAAGGAGGCAACTAAATGAGACAATGGGAAATTCAGTGAAACGCTCTCACAAAATCAAGTGTTGGAGTGGTTAAGAAGAGAGAAGAACGAGAGCCATAATCTAGCGTGCACGGGTCTCTGAGTTCAGTCATCAGTACCACAAACCATGTATTTGCTTGTTTTGTGTAAAACCAGGCAATGATTACTTCTTTCAACATACTTGTGTGTATAATACAATAGAAACAAGT